AACACTCTGCTATGCTAGATATGCACTATTTGGGCTTTTTAACATTCCTGGGCCCAATTCGTTCTTCATGAGACCTCTTTTCTGATCGACTGTGTCCACAAGCACAATTGACTATTTATGAAATCTCTCCCGGTCGACTGCTTCTTTAGTCGACTTCCTATAATTCAAAGTTCTTGAAGAACCTTTTTAGCTTTTGGTTGGATTTCAACCCTTTGTGAAAATCCTAGCCAACAAATTGAAAATTCAACAATTTGCAATAAACTTACTCGAAAGAAACTGCTCGATAGTCGTTGCATTAGCTAGTAGATAACTACACATGTGTGAAAGCAAAAACAATTAATCCAATAATATGCTTAAATTTGAAATGAGAATGAAAATAAGATATATAGCTTTTCACATTGTAGTTGATTTTTATTGCCAAATTGTGTTAGTGATGTCAATGCTTGTTTCTAACCATAACAATTGTTTAACCAAAACCAACATTTCATTAACCAACAAGACCGATAAATAGATTTCAATGCATCTGCAGTTTCAACGTAACATCAACGATGCAATTTAAACCCTATTTCAAATATTACATTTTATAACAAAATAAACATTAAACATAAAGGAGATAACAAAACATAACATTTTCAAATTTTCAGAAAATTTCTCTGATTTTAGTTTATTCTTCAAATTCTTATTTTTTTTTTCTTTGAATCTACATACATAACCTTCAAGAAGACCATGGCTTCCATAAATTCCACCTTTTATTTCATAATGCTCCCAACATTATTTCCACCTTTTATTTCATAATGCTCCCAACATTATTTCCACCTTTTGCTCCCATGTCTTCATTACATATGAACAAACTACATGTCTCGTCACTCCTCCAAAATAGACATCTCCAAGAAAGTCTTCTTTTATTTTTCCCCTTCTTGCTTTGGTACAAAACCATACGACCATCAGACCTAGAGAATTTTCCAGATCGAGAGTTTACAGAAGAAGATGAAGAAGAAGACATAGAAACATCTTTGGATGAGTTTGTCTTTAAAGACGACATTGAAACGAAAAAACCCACGTTATAGCTTAGTTCTCAATCATAACACAATTTATTATTCAAATTGAAACATAAATAAAGAACAACATCATCATTATTAATGTACCATTATAGTTTAATCAGAAAATATCCTAAATGATTATACCTTAAGCAAAACGAAAATCTAAATCTACACAAAAAACGGACTAACATACCCTAAGGTTTTCATTTTTCATGAAGTTGGAGATGAATGAACGAAATTATACCGGGAAAAAAATGAAATTTTGTACACAAATTGTACATGTGAAATCAAAACCTTAAACTCAAGCTTATTAATATGAACTTAAACTTAATTAAACAAGAAGACATGCATTCTCAACAAACAATATCATCTTGCAAAAGTGTTATAATCATTACTAACATGTTTTGCTCAAAACCGTTATGAACAAACTCATTGTGAGATTTAAATAAACACCTTGTGTGTAAAACTCAAACTTATGAAAAGAGGAACAATTCAAACATATAAGTTACTTGGGCATGAAAAAAAAAACCACAAAATCAATGAAGCTCATGCAAAATCAAAATTCGTATTGCAAAAAGAACAAGTATATGAAGATCGCAAGATCTTGAAACATTCAAAATCAAAATCGAAAAATCAAAAATATAAAAAATAAAAGGATACTTTCAATGCACTGTTGAGATCTATTAAGCTTGGAGAGCTTGTCTGCTCCTTGAAATCTCTTACCCTTCAACGAAAAGTATACAACCGAAATCCTAGAATCCAGTGAAGCCAATTTATGGAATAAAAAAAAGGAACACTTCAATATTCTGAATATAAACCATAGAATACATTTGGGAAGAAGAAAAGTTTCAATAGATAAATCGTTATTTGAGGATAGGGGAAATTGAGTTACAAAAGAGTTGCATATATGAAAGGGATATATTCAGAGGGTTTTCTATTTGAGAGGAAAAGATTTCAAAGGAATGATGTTGAAAATGGGGCTCGATTTTGTTTCATAAATTTTTACGCATCAAATAAATAAATAAATCATTAACGTCGGTCTACGCCGACACTAGAACTAAAATTAAAATAAAATAAATTAAGCAAGGAAAAAATAAGAGGGAGAATAAATATAAATAATTAAATAATGTCGATCTACTCCAACGCTAAAACTAAAATAAAGAATAAAATAAAATTGGTCGCCGAATAAAAAGAAGAAGAGGATAAAAAATATCGGCTAAAAAATGTAGTGTCTGTCTAAGCCGACACCAAAACTAAAATAAAAATAAAATAAAATTCGACTAAAAACGAAAAAAAAAAAGAAGAGGAAAAGATATGAGTTGAAAAAAGGTAGTATTAGAAGATAGAAGACGCTAACAAATTACTAAATAAATAACTAAATTAACAATTGAATAAATAAATAAGTAGCGTCAGCTACACAGCAAATAAAAATAAATAAAAAATGTGAAAATAAGAAACTTCGGCTTAGCCGTGACTAATTAATCAATAAAATTAATATAAAAATGAAAATTAAAAAATACTTTTAGTGTGGACGTAACATGGGCCTGGCCGACACAATAAAATATGGGACACTAAAATGCATTTTTTTACTAGTGATATTGAACCTCTCACCTAGCGTGAACAGGTTCTGATCTAAACCCCTACTATTTGTTATACATTTGTATTTTTTGATCGGTACAAGTCTTTTCACGAAGATACCTCTACCATTTTATGGATAGGTCTGACTTATGGAAGATGAGATTTGAAACTTTTATTGAAGCTAATGATTTTGAAATATGGATTATTTTAGTCAATGGTTTGGTTATTCATGTCTTTTCCTTTAATGATGGGTAGTAAATAAACTCGATGTAGATTGGACCGAAAAAGATTTGAGAAAAATCAAATTTGATTTTAAAGTCAAATATCTTTTATAAATGTTCCGTTATGTTTCGCCCCGTCCCGTCCCGTCCCGTTCTTTTTTTTTTTTTTTTTAGTTTTGCAAAGACGGTCATGGCCATTCGCCATCCTTACACCTCACAACCCCTAGTGAACATTGAGGATGAGACAATAGCCTGAAAAATTGGTACATGGAGTTTTCATATAGATATTTGTTAATCAAAATTAAAATGGTATTTGAATTAAAACTATTCAAAATAGAGTCCAAACACTACAAGAAAAAACGAAATCAGTCAGGAGATAATTCCCTCACAAATGACAAAAACCCCTCACAAATGAAAAAATTGCGAGGGGACTAGTCCCCTAACAAAACAGGGGATCACAAATTTATTTGTCAGGGGCTTTCCACGTCGCCATTTTGCTTGGGGCTAACCCCCTCGCAAAATGCAATCAAAATTTTCCTCTAAACAACACGCAAACATAGGCGCAGACTAGGAGTTCAGATATTAGTGTAGTGTGTGAGATATTTTGCTTGAGACTAACCCCCTTGCAAAATACAAATGTTTTCTATTGGCTAGGAGTTAAGCCTCAGACAAAATATAAAACAAATTATAAAAAAATAAAAATAATAATAAAACAAAAATATATTAACATTAACAGAAAAAAAATATATAATATTATAACTATAATTAATATAATTAAAACTATTTCATTATATTATTTTTCTAAAATATCAATAATGTTTTTATGATAATTTATTTATTGCCTTACTATTTTTTAAAGTATTATAACTAAAAAAATCATTTTACTTTACAAATATTTTTAACTAGTTTCTAGCATATCTATCATTATAAATAAATAATTTTTAATCCACAAATAGTTATGCAAACATCACCCATAATCATTATAATAACAAATAATAACAAACATCATCTATTTAACAACACTCATTTACAACTATAATAACAAACAACACCCATTACAACTATATAAGTAGATTTAAGAAAACTAAATAAAAAATATGAACCTTTGATGAACACCCAATTTAGATTTAAATTTTTTTACTGTCTTCAATGATAAAAACATATCTAAAAATATAAAACAAAAACTAAATATTAGAAAAAAAAACATAAATTAAACATTATATAAAATATAATTTAAAAGAACAATGCCTTTAATAATTAATAAAAATGAGAGATGAATGTAGAAGAAGGTGGGAATATGAGAGAAAGGAAGAAAAGAAAGAAAAGAAAGAAAGAGAAAAGAAAGAGAGAAAAGAAAGAGAAGAAGAGACACAAATGAATCTGCGAAAATAGAGTTTTTTTAAATAATATAATTAGTGAGGGGTAGCCCCTGGCAAAATGTTAACACGCTTTTTAGAATTCTGCACACTTTTCAATTAACTGTAATTTGTGAGAGGTATCTCCACGCGTAAACAACAATCATATTTTGTGAGGTGGAGTCCCTCGTAAAATGCAGAGTGATACAATTTTCAAAATTTAAAAATTCCTCCTATTTTATTTGAGAGGGGTAGCCAATCACCATTTAAAATTTTTTTTTTCTTTCAGTTTTGTCATTTCGGAAGAGTTTTACTCCAAGCAATATCAAAATTTAGTGAGAGGTTTATCACCTCACTAAATCCCCCGACTAATCAAGCTTTTTCTTGTAGTGAAACATATAACTCTATTGAGATGATCATTGCACAAATAAGATTATAACAACACTATTGAGACTTTGTTAAATAGCAAGAATATGAAAGAACAGTGAACATATTAACTGGTGTTGTGATGCGACAACAGTGCAAGACATAAAGCAATGAACAGAAATTTGAAGATATCTTGAAAATAAAAGTAGCAACAACTGAGTCAGAATGCATTTTGATAATGACACATATTTTTATAGTTCTTGTTTGTGATGTATTGCATTTTAATATTCTGTTTTGTCCATTTTGTCTCTGTCAACACAAGTTCTCAATATTTGTTATATTATTTAATACACTTGTGAAAATACCAACTACTAATGATACATAGTTGATGCTGTTAAAATATCATTTAGACTGCTAAAGTGACAAGCATTTTAATTTCTTCACACTTGTTCATCTCGAATTATTGCAACAAAGTTACTCTTAGTGATGACTTTATCATTAGGATTAGGATTCTCATCTTTGTCATTGCTCTCTCTACTTTCCATAACTGGTAATGCTTCATCTTTAATAATTGAACTTGGTGTGTCATAATCTTTGCTTTTACCCCACACCACTAAATACAATCCTATAATTATCACAACCGCACCGACAACCCTGCAAAATTTATCAAAATATTGATATTTATTTTACGAATTTAAGTCATACACAGCGTAAAGATATTTTATACTGTCAGAAATAATTACCTTCCGAGGTATATTTTCTCGGCCAAAAAAATTGAGCTCGTGATAGCTACAATGACCATACAGAGAGGATTGAAAGTTGTTACATAAACTGGACCTCTATATCTCATAACAACTCCTTGGATGTAATAGGCCAGTCCTGAACAAACTATACCCTGCATGTGAATAAATAATAATAATTATTACTATTAGGTAAATTAATCTGTGATTAATTTATAAATGAAAATGTTGATCAAGCAATATATTCTTCTTTTGAACAGAAACACTTTTATTTATTGCATGATGAATGTGTGTGTATTTTTCTATTATGTAGCCTTTGGATGTTAGAAAGGGATTTAACTTTTAATCACTTTTTTAAATACTCTTCTTAAACTTTATCAAAAGTTAGTTATAATTAATTGTGTTCATTAATACTAATAAACTTAAAAAACTTACACTATAAACCGCAGCCAAAAGTTTTGTATCCCAATTCAAAGACCAAACAGAATAATCACCCCTTTCCATAATCAAAGCTACGATGCCACCTTCAATTGTTCCCAATAAACATATCCATGCTGTAAGTGACAGCTCAGCAGGATATGTTTCAAGTGTGATCGTCTAAAAAATTTAATTAAACTGTATTAGTATTTAATCTCTAAAAAAGATGTGTCTGTGTGATATCGACGTATTAGGATTAGTATTGTGTTCTGTATGTCCGAACTTCATAGATAAATAGAGATGAAGAAGAAAATATATAAATATCATTTGATTTTTTAGATGAAAACTCACTTGTAAAATCATGAAACAAGCACAACTAAAACAACCAACTGTTATCATAATTGATCCCTTTATTGCATGTTGAAGATTTGCACCACTATTATGTTGGATTTGAGCACTATTTCCATGTGTCCCAAAAATATTAAGTATTGGACCTCTAAACAATGTCATAACCATAGCACCTGCAACTGTTGCTAATGTCCCAACCACCTTTGCTTGACTATGCACACTTTTCATTTTTATCTTCTCAAGTCTAGACACAATAAACCAATTCATTAAAAAAAATTAGTAAATAAATTTCACTATCAGAAATTTAAATTACCGAAAGAAATTTTGAGACAGACAAAAATTTTGTCTGTCTCTAATTTCGGTTGATAATTGAGTTTTTATCTACCAGTAAAGAGTGAAAATTTACTTGAAAATATAAGCCATGACGAAGGTAATGGCAGGGAGGACATTGTACATAGCGACTGCGAAAGTAGCTGTTGTATACTTCATTCCCAAGAAATATAAATTCTGATCGATTACCGGTCTGTCATAAAAAAAAAAACAATATCATTTAGAATTATGATAAGTTTTGGGATGAAAAAAAGAAAGTATTTAGCCTTTCAGAAAATTACTCTAGCGTACTGAGAGCCACAAGCTTCATAAAGATTGAAAATGTCATCTTTGGCCTAACTTTCCTGTAAAAAAATGTAGCATTATTTACTTCAATTCATATTCATGTTAACAAAATATTGACATGGACATAGAAGGAGATTAATCTTACTTTTCCAAGATCAATGCAAAAGGAGCGATCACAACGAAGGCTGCGATGTGACGATAAACGACGAGTACATAATTACTCATTCCTTTGTTCAGTGCAGCTTTAGATAAAACATCCATACCAGCATATCCAAATTGCAAAAACACTACAGCTAAGAATGGTTTCATTCTGTCAAACCTTTTTTGGTTACAACATTCCATCATGTTTTTTCAGTTCAAAATTTTCTTAAACTCTTTCTTGAGCCACAAGAATGAAAATAGAAGAATGAAGGTATGTGTTTATATACTAAATTAATGGTTGGAAAAAATGAAAGAAGTATATGCACTATATATACATATATGGTAGCTAGCAAGCTCTACTTGTTCACGTAACCAAGTGGGATGTCACATAAATCAATAGACAAAAAAAAAATAATGAAAAAGTAAGGGTCACGCTTTAAATTATTAGTATCTTTTCGTTATAGTTGAGTGTTATCATGGCGTAGCTTTTATCATTTTGTTTACTAGTTTTTCTTATTATTTATATTTTGACAAAAAATTTGCGTATACTATGTGTGAAGATTTTATATGGAAAAGTTAGTTGTTTCTACTTTCTAGTCAAAGATAAGAAAAAGCAATTCTACAATACATGATATTAATGGAAGTGCAAAATTCTAATTATTTTTGAATTGTAGTTCCATGATTATTTGTTTTTGTTTTTTAAGATAAAAGACTAGTGTATAGTGTAGTGCACAAAACCTCTTATGACAACAATTTTAATTTTAAAGAAAGAATAATGAGAAAAGAAAGTAAAAGATAACGAATATGATTGATTTTTGTTAATGCAGTTAGGTTAATTGAGTTTATTTCTAAAATTTTAGAACAATTGAGTTTATCTCTAAAACTTTAGAGCAGTTATAATTTTCTTTATTTCTGTCTAATAATTAAGATTTGTTATATATATATATAATACCCCTGAAGTTTTTGCACCCCACAGTTATTTATCCATAATAATCTAAATAATAGGAGTCATATTCAACAATATCTATAATAATCTCCATAATATGAGTCATATTTAACAATACTCATAATAATCTTGACAATATGAGTCATACTTAACAATCTCCACATGGCCGGATATCAAATCTCTATAAAGATTTTCTGCAAGACGATCACGATTTAGAAACTAGAAACATACACCTCTTGTTTAACACAAAAACATGTAACAAATCCAATAAATGTTTGAACTTTTCAATGACGAGAGTGGCTTGGTGTTTACTGTGAAATTTCGTAAACAATCGCTAGTCTTTCAAATGATAATTTGGTTGCTTGCAGGATCAACTAGATTGATCCTAGGATATATGTGCATAAAATTTTCTTAATTCCACATTCATCTGAATTCTTTCTTGATTTCCTTGAAAAGAAAGACACGTCGAAAAATCCAGCTAACAAATTATCCCAAAAAAATATCATTTTCGACTAAAGGAGAAATTAGACATTTTTTGAACATTTCGACGTCTCATCATTATCACTATTCTGACGTCATGACCATCATGGCCACTTTACCGAGACATCTTTTCGAGACTTGCAACAACTCTAAATAATAATGATAATTCCTACTCCCTAGGAGAAATGTGGGTCATCACAAAACCAACCGTTAGATCGTGCCTCAGATGATCAACACATATCCCACGATCTGAAGGAACATGTCACTCTTAGAAATTGAACAGTTTCACTATGCCAAAATTGACTTTAGACAGCGCCACATAGACATCGCTTATGCCTAAAGTGCTGCTATAGGTTTTTAGAAAAATTAATAATTAAAAATTAAAGGAGAAGCGCTGCTAAAGGTATACTATAGACAACGCTTATTATAAGCGCTGCTATAGGCCTTACCATAGACAGCGCTTTCTTTCCCTAAGTGCTGCTATAGGTTTTCAGTAAAAAAAAAATTAAAAATTAGAATAAGCGCTGCTAAAGGTTATACTTTAGACAGCGCTTACTAAAAGCGCTGCTAAAGGTGTTATTCTAGGAAGCGTTGCTAAAGCCTAAAGCGCTGCTAAAGGGTATACCTTAGATTGCGCTTTCCAAAAGCGCTGCTAAAGGGTATACCTTAGACAGCGCTTTTCAGAAGCGCTGCTAAAGGCATTACTCTAAAAGCGCTGCTAAAGCCTAAAGTGCTGCTAAAGATAATACCTTTAGCAGCGCTTCTTGAAAGCGCTGTCTAAGGTAATTAAATAGTGTCTTAATCCCTAAATTGGTTATCAGATTTCAAGAAATCCCAAATCGTACAAACGAAACCCCACACCCAGAAATCGCTCCTGTTCATCTTCTTCTCCAACTCGTCTCCTCCCATTCACCGTCCAACCGTGGTTCTTCCTCCAACTACAGTGAGAAACTCTTGCTCTTTCTATTTCTTTGCTTCCAAGTTTTGTATTACTATAGTAAACCTCTATGGTCAAAAACAAAACTAGTTCAATTTTGTAACATGTGATTATTTATTGTGCAATTCTAATATGTTTATAAAAGCATATTATTTTTTTAAACTTATCTATCACCTGCTAACTAAATAGCAATTACCAGCAACCAAATAATGTGTAGTGAGATTCGTGAACTTGTGGTTATGGTATTGATAATGTGAAGAAAAAATAAATCATAATTAGGGGTGTTCAAAAAATCCACATAACTGAACCACAAAACCGAACTGAACCATTTTTAAATAACCGAACCGTTATTCATGGTTTATGAACCGAACCACATGTCATCAAACAGTTCAATAACCGAACTGAAACCATAGTTAACCAAACCATAACTTGCTGAACCAAACAGTAATTAACTACCCTTACTTATGATATGGTATTCCTTAGTTATGTTGGAACTTTAGATCAATTTTTATATTTTCTCCGAATTGATTTTTTAGAACTCAAATTTATTTTAAATCCGTGTATACTTTGTGTTTTGACAGAAACGCATTATACCGTTTTGTGCCCTAATTAGTGTTTTTGTTTAACTTAGATAATAGTTAAAACCATGGATACAAAATGGATGTGTGTCGATCGATTGTCAAAAGAGTACGAGAATGGGGTATTAGAGTTTGTTAAGTTTGCTGTTGAACACGCTGAAGACCCGAATAGAATGAAATGTCCTTGCTTGGGTTGTTGTTATGTGGGTCGGGTTGACGCAGATGGATTGAAATCACATTTACTAATGTGCGGAATTGATCGAAGTTATACGTGTTGGATATTTCATGGTGAGAAAAGCATCGAGAATGTTGAACCGGGGTGAAAAGTAATGCGACCTATGTTATGTACGACAATGCCACAGATACATATGATTATGATCGATTCGAAGAGATTGCAGAAGCACTTGAAGAAGATCTTCAAGATTGTCCCAAAATGTTTGAGAGGTTGGTAAGCGATGTGGAGAAACCGTTTAATAAAGATTGCCCCAAATTCACAAGATTGTCTGCGGTATTAAAATTGTACAACTTAAAGGCGCGCAATGGATGGTCGGATAAAAGTTTCACACAGTTATTAGCCCTTTTGAGAGATATGCTTCCTGAGGATAATGTTCTTCCTAATCAAACCTACGAGGCCAAAAAAATGTTGTGCTCTATTGGCATGAGCTATGATAAGATACATGCATGTCTAAATGATTGTATTTTGTTTCGAAACGAATATGCATCATTGAATGAGTGCCCAAAGTGCGGTTTATCTCGATATAAGAAAAAATTATCTCCAGCGAAAGTCTTATGGTATTTTCCTATTATTCCGAGATTTAGACGCATGTTTCGTAGTGAAACCGATGCTAGACACTTGACTTGGCATGCAAATGAAAGAATTATCGATGGAAAGTTTCGACATCTGGAAGATGCACCACAGTGGAAGAAAATTGATAATGATTATCCTGATTTTGGAGGAGAAACAAGAAACCTTCGCTTGGAATTATCTACGGATGGAATGAACCCACATGGTCTTCAAAGTATCTCACATTCCACATGGCCTGTGATTCTTATGATTTATAACCTACCTCCATGGCTATGTATGAAGCGCAAGTACATGATGTTATCTATGTTAATTTTTGGGCCTAAACAACCAGGGAATGACATAGATGTATACTTGAAACCTTTAATAGGTCGTGCCTTCAGACATATATAAGCTTCACAACTATTTCGCAAGGTGGTACTTCTCTTATACCCCTCGATGAAGGGATTTATCGTTCTAAAGGCATGACAGCAATTGGTAAGGAGGATTTGGAAGAAGTTTTTGGACACTTGACATTAGGCATCGCTGTTATCAATACATACATCAGGTATACTCCAATAAACTTTGTTTAATTAATTGCAGAATTTATTTACTCATTTCAATGAATAATTAATGTTAATGATGTTTTTATTTAAGGTTTCTGTATGACAAGTTGATTCTCCCGCGTGGATTGGAGTCCAGATTCGCTTTCATAAATCCCAACGTTGTCCACGCAGGGTCAATAATCTCAAAACCAGATGAAGTAATAGCATTTGTGCTCAGTTTATTTATGGCCAGCAAAGATACAGAAAAATTGTTCTTTTTACCATATAATACTGGCCCCAAGTAAGATTTTCATTCTAAATTTCCTCTATTATAATTTTTCGTTTTTTAACGTTGTGCAAAAAATTTCCATCTAACCTTTGTTTAATATTCCAGTGGACACTGGTTATTGGTTGCAATTAATCCTGTGAGAGAAATTGTATATTATCTGGATTCATTGGGCAATGATTGGACAACATACCCAGATATGAAGAAGACGATTGACACGTAAGTGAGATTGTTCCAAAATATTACTGTGTATATTTAATTATTTATGTGCGATAGTTCTAAATATTCGTTATTATTTTATTATAGCATTCTACAAAGTTTTCGAGCACAAAGAGATATTCAAGTACCAAGGAGTAGAGTCAACAATATTTCTTGGATCAAAGTGGAGGTATAGATTTTCACAATTTTGATTATATAGCGATGATACTTGATAAAACAAGTTAAGGTGTATATCTTGATGTATATTCGTATTTTCTTTCCATGTGTAGTGTCCTCGTCAGCGCAATGGTGTAGATTGCGGTTATTTTATGTTGAGGTTTATGAAAGAAACTATTCTTTTGGACCGATTAGAGATTCCATCCACGATATGAATTTCTAACTTAGGAATTATTTTAATATTTCTCATAAAATGACTTAGTATTTTAATTAAAT